CCTCCCCCCCACCTGCACGGGGCGCGCGACGGTGTTCTGCAGCGCAGGCTTCGAAATGGCAGTGCGCCCAGGAGCCGACAGGAAGAAACGCGAAGCCCCCCCAACGTGCAGTCGCCAGGTCCGGCGCCTTCCTCTCGCCCCTCCTGCCCCTCCTCCCCCCCACTACCACCCCTCCCTCCTCCTCCTCCTCCTCCTCCTCCTCCTCCTCCTCCTCCTCCTCCTCCACCTTCTCCTCCTCCTCCTCCTCCTCCCCCCCCCCGTCCTCCCCCCCGTCGCCCTGGCGAGCAGCAGCGCCGACCGAAGGGGCGCGCGGCTGCAGAAGCGCAGACGGGGAGCGGCTGCGGCTGGCGGGCGCCCCCCCCCCCCGAAGGCGAGGCGCGTGCGAGCCCGCGCGGGCCAACGTCATCAGCTACGGGGCTGGGACCAACTCGTGCGTGCGGGAAAGCAGAGCCGTGGCAGCAGCTTCAGTCGGAAATCCGCGAGGTAGAAGACGAAGCGCAAGCCCGATGTCATCAGCTACAGCGCTGGGATCCGGGCGTGTGGGGGCGAAGATGGCTGGCGGCTCTGGCGTCATTCTGCGAGACGCGGGAGGCAAAGCTGGAGCCCAATGTCGCGCAGCGGGCGGCACGTCAGCAACAACGCTGGGAACAGCGCGTAAGAGCATGGCAGCAGCGAGCGACTACTGTTCTACAACGCTGGGAGGGGTTCACGCGAAAAGGAGCTGCGGGCGAAAGCTCGAGCTCGGGGCAGGCCGAGAGCGCCGTATCAGCTACAACGCCGGGAGTTGTTCAGGCGAGAAGGCAGGCAGTGATCGACACATCAGCTACCATGCTGGGCGTAGCTCATGGGAGGAAGGCGGCAGTGGGCGAAACAAGAGCTTCAACGCTGGGAAAAGTTCGCGCGAGAAGACAGGCAGTGACACGGCACACCGCTCTTGCCAGAAGGGCGAGAGGCGGTTGGGCGTGAAGGCAAGCCAGGCCCGCTCCACGACCCTCATAACCTACGATATCTGGCTCGGGGACGGTCCGTAGTGTCTGGTAGAGGCGCTGGTGGCAGGCAGCGTGCGGCGTGCCACTAGTCTGAATGGCTCAAACCCGCTCAAATCCCCCCACCCATCCTCGTCCTCTTCCTCCTCCTCGTCCTCCTCCTCATCCACCTCCTCCTCCGACTTCTCCACATCCTCCTCCTCCTCATCCTCCAAATCCGATTCCGACTCTGACTCCGATTCCGATTCCGACTCCGATTTCGACTCTGGCTCCTTCGACAAGCCTGACTCCTCCCTTCTTCTCCCACCCTTTGTTCTTCTCTTCCTCTTCCTCCTCCTCCTCCTCCTCATCATCATCATCATCATCATCATCAGCCTCCTCATCATCATCATCATCATCATCATCATCATCATCATCATCATCATCATCATCATCATCATCATCAACATCAACATAATCATCATCATCATCATCATCATCATCATCATCATCATCATCATCATCATCATCATCATCATCACCATCATCATCATCATCATCAGAATCATCATCATCAACATCATCATCATCATCATCACCATAAACATCAGCAGCGTCATCATCATTATCATCAGCACCATCAGCATCATCATCAGCATCATCAGCAGCATAATCAGCATCATCATCATCGGCATCATCATCATCATCAGCATCAGCATCATCATCATTATCATCATTATCATCAGCATCAGCATCAGCATCAGCATCAGCATCAGCATCATCAGCATCAGCATCATCATCATCATCATAATCATCATCATCATCATCATCATCATCATCATCAGCATCATCATCATCATCATCATCATCATCATCAGCAGCATCATCCTCCTCCTCCTCCCACGCCTCTTCCTCCTCCTCCCCCCCCGCCTCATCCGCCTCCTCCTCCTCCTCCTCCTCCTCCGCCACATCCTCCGCCTTCTCCTCCTCCTCCTTCTTCCTTCCCCTACCTCCTCATCCTCCTCCTCATGTCCTGCTCCTACCCTACTTCCCTCCTCCCCTCATCAGCCTCATCATCACCATCACCACATCACCATCACCATAATCACATCCTGCTCCTCCACCATCGTCTCGTCCTCCCCGTAATTCCTCTCCTCATCATCCTCATCCTTCCTCCCTCCTCCTCCTCCCTATCCTCTTCCTCCTGCTCCTCCTCTCCCCTGTCTCTTCCTCTCTCTCTCTCAAGTTCTCTCCCTCTCCCTCCCTCTCTCTCTCTCTCTCTCTCTCTCGGCTCTTCTCTCTCTTCTCTCTCTCGCTCTCTCTCTCTCTATGTCTCTCTCTCCCCCCCACTCCTCCTTCCTCCTCCTGCTCCTCCTCCTCCCCTCTCCCCCTCCTTCCTCCTCCTCCTCCTCATCCTCCTCCTCCTCCTCCTCCTCCTCCTCCTCTGTAGATTCCTCTTCCTCCTCCTCATCCTCCTCCTCCTCCTCCTGCTCCTCCTCCTCCGCCTCATCGTCATCATCATCAGCATCACCATCATCAGCAGAAGCAGCAGCATCATCAGCAGCAGCATTACCAGCATCGGCATCGTCCGCACCTGCATCATCATCGTCATCAGCGTCAGCAGCATCTGGCAACAGCATCATCAACATCATCATCCTCATCATCATCATCATCATCATCATCATCATCATCATCATCATCATCAGCATCATCATCATCATCACCATCATCATCATCATTATCGTCGTCATCATCAGCATTACCATCATCATCGCAGCATCATCATCATCATCATCATCATCATCAGCATCATCATCATCGTCTTCATCATCACAAGCATCATCGTCAGCATCAGCAGCAAAATCAGCATCAGCATCATCGTCGTCGTCACCTTCAGCAGCAATAGTATCATCCGCAGCAGCATGGTCATCGTCGTCATCGTCATAATCATCATCAGCATCACCATCGACATCAGCAGCCGTATCAACATCGTCAGCACCATCATCAGCATCATCATGATCGTCATGAGCATCATCACCACTATCAGTATCAACATCATCATCATCATCATCATCATCATCATCATCATCATCATCATCACCATCACTGCCATCGTCATCGTCCGCATCATCATCAGCAGCATCAGCATCAGCAGCATCACCATTACCACCATCAGCGTCATCAGTCTCATCATCATCTTCATCAGCAGTATCATCATCATCGTCATCATCATCATCGTCACCGTCATCGCCGTCGTCATTCGCATCGTCATTATAAGGATCATGACCGTCATCATCAGCATCAGCATCATAATCATCATTATAGCCATCAGCGTCAACAACATGAGAATCAGCATCATCGTAATCATCATCAGCATCATTAATACCACCCTCGTCATCAGCATCACCATCAGCATCCCAATCGACAGCGTCCTCACCATCAGCAGCATCACCATAATCATAGTCATAACCATCATCATCAGATCATCATCATCATCATCATCACCATCATCATCATCATCATCATCATCATCATCATTATCACCATCGTCATCACTTACATCAGCACCACCAGTATCATCATAATCATCAGCATCATCATCAGCATCATCATCGTCATCATCGACATCACCATCATCATCAAAATTGTTATCAGTATCATCATCAGGAGAATCATCATCATCATCGTCGTTCACGGCCGCGGCAGCCGTATCTTCACAGTCGTCGTCATTTTCAGCAACAGTATGATCGCCATCATAGACAGCAGCAATCGTGACATTAACAACACATTCAATATCAGCATCCGAACTGTCACCATCAGCAACAGAATCATCAACCGCATCATCGCCACAATCAGCACCGGCAACAGCCATATCATCCGCATCAGAATCAAAAACATCAGCATCAAACTCCCGACAAACAACAACCACGAAAAAGATAGCGCCACCAGCAGCATCCTTATAACCGACAACGCACTAACATCATCGCAATCATCCCCGTCCTCATTATCATCACCATCATCATCATCATCATCATCATCATCATCATCAGAATCATTATCATCAGCATCATCATCCTCAGCCGCAGCAGCAGCATCATCATCCTCGTCGGCATCATGAGCAATAGTCTCATCATCGCCGATGTAACCATCCTCCGAGGCATCATCAGCATCCTCATACTCGTCATCCGCATCAGAATCATCGTCAGCAGCAGCATCATGAGTGTCATGATCATCAGCCTCATCATCGTCATCATCCTGATCATCAGCATCGTCATCATCATCATCATCATCATCATCACCATCAGCATCATCATCATCATCATCACCATCATCGTCATTGTCATCGATGTCGTCACCATCATCAGTAGCATCATCATCATCAGCAGCATCGTCAGCAGTATCACCGTCATCGTCATGGTCGTCGTCGTCGTCGACATTGTCGTCAGCATCATAATCAACATCATCAGCAGCAATCGTTACATCATCAACATCTTCATCGTAATTCCCAGATCCACCTTCATCGCCCCATCTTCATAATCATGATCATCATCATCATCATCGTCATCATCATCATCAGCATCATCAGAATCATCACCGCCATCCCCATCAGCATCATCATCATCAGCATTAGCACCGTCATCAGCAGCAGCAGCATCAATATCATACTCCTCCTCTTTCTCCTCCTCCTACTCATGTTCATCGTCGTCATCCGCAACATCATCATCAGCAGCAGCATCATCATCGTCCTCCTCCTCCTCATCATTATCCTCCTCTTTCATCATCCTCATCATCCTTCTCATGTGCCTTCGTCACCATACCCTCCTCGCCCTAACTCCGCTTCGATACGCCATTGGACGAGCCCCTGGCGTCAGCTCCTCCTCATCATCACCATGGTCACGAGTGCGGCTTCTCAGGACCCCAGCGTGGCGGGCTGGGCCGAAGGCGGCAAGTGCGCGCGGGGGCTTCGACCGCGCAATCATCATCACCAGCAGCATCATCAGCAGCAGCATCTACATCTGCAGCCCCTTCTCTGTCCTGATCCTCGAGCTGGAGCGTGTTCGAACCCTGCAGGTCGCCGTCCAGCGGCAGGGTGTCTGCGGAGCCGTTGGACAGCCTGAATCTGAGTCCACACACGTCCACCAGGGGAAGGGGGAGAGGGCGGAGGGGGAGGATGGGCTTGCTTCGAAAATCCGTCTTGCTCCGCAACGCCAGTCCCCTGCATGGGGGCTTCCCATACCATCTTGTCGGCTCTTCCGAATCGACCCGAATCGACGCTGAATCGACGCTCATCGACGCGAAGCCGCGAATCGACGCTGACCGACGCGAAATCGGCGCTACAGTCGGGGCGTTGACCTAAGGAACCCTAAATAAGGAACGAGGCCCCTTTTTTCCATAAGTTAAACTTCGATTTGCTATCGACAACATAAGGAAAACCTGAGGCAAGCTGTGAAACACTTCAGAAACGCGGAGCCCCTCCCCAACGAAAAAGGTTCCTTCTTCAGGGCCCCGACTGTATGTCATCGACTCCAGGCGCGCGTCGGCGCCAAAAGCGACGCCGAGGACGGACTTGAGCGGGAACGCCAGGCTTCCACGGTCTGCCACCGAGAAGGGGCCCACTCCGGTGCCCGCGAGCCAAGGGCGAGGAAGGGGAGAAGGGGGACGGGGAGGGACGGGGAGGGACGAGGAGGGACGAGGAGGGACGGGGAGGGACGGGGAGGGACAGGGAGGGACGGAAAGGTCCTCCTCCTCCTCCTCCTCCTCCTCCTCCTCCTCCTCCTCCTCCTCCTCCTCCTCCGGGAGGGGGAGGGACGAGGAGAGCCAGGAGGAGGTGGAGGAGAGAGAAGGGCCTGCGATGCAAGCTGGGTGCGCCCGCGCCATATCTGACGTCCCACGCCTCCCTGTCCATCCCTCTGCACAACATCGAATCCCGTTCCACTGCGCTGCGCCGCACTGGGACTGCACAGAGACCGTGCGGGTGGTGCAGTGCGGCCAACGCCCCGGCGAGAAAGTCGCTCCGTTGAACGGGCGCTCGGCGTATAAGTTCTCTCACGTGGCACATGCTGCAGCTGGAGCACCACATTTTTGGATGAAGGACTAGGGCCGGCGAAGACGGCGAGAGCGGCGGTACGGCCACCGCGACGCGACGAGGCCGTCGCTGAGCGGCGGGAGGTTGCGGATGTGGCAAGCCCTGCAGCGGGAGCACCGCTCCCACTGGTGCAAAGAGTACGGCCAGCACTACGGCGAGAGCGTCGTTCCCTTGGACAAGAGGTCATCATTTCATGCGGAAAGCGCTGCAGCGGGAGCATCACCCTTGCAGGGCCGAGAACGCCACTATTGGAACAAGAAGCATGTCGGGAATCTAACTAGGCGGATTCCTGTATAATAATGCGGAAGACGAGATGGGGCGCAAACAAACACGACGTCAGGGGAGAGAGGAGGGTAGCGCTCCGACTGTGAAACTGTAGCGGACGGCGAGGGGGAAGAGGCCGGACGTGAAAACTCCCACGTGGCTCCACGACGTGAGACGGGAGGCCACCGGGCAAGCCGGGAATGCCACCCGAGACTACGCCAAGAGACGCACGCGCGAAGGATGCAGAAAAAGCAGACGGCAGCGGACGGAAGCAGGAGGCAGCGGAGAAGGCGGTGGAGGGAGCGAAGGGGGCGAAGGAGTCGAAGCAGCCCGAGGCGCACAGGGCCACCCGCCCCACGGGCGGCGAGCCCGATCCTCCACTGGCGCTTTCCAAGGCGGGTCAAAGCGCCCCTTTTTTCTGACCTCGGCAGTGGCCTCCCTCCTCGTCCTCCTCCAGCTCCTCCTCCCCGTCCTCGTCCACCACAACATCATCCTTCTCCTCCTCCACGCCCCCCTCCTCCACTCCCCTCCCTCCCTCCCTCCCTTTCCGTCCACGGAACAAACTGCTCTCCCCTTCCCTCCCCTCCCTCCCTCTCGGTCCACGGAGCAAACCTCTCTCACCGTCCTCCCTTTTCCGCCCTCCCTCCGCGTGCTGCTGCGCGCGGCGTCTCTCTCTCTCTCTCTCTTTCTCTCTCTCTCTCTCTCTCTCGCGCTCTCTCGCGCTCTCGCGCTCTCTCTTTCTCTCTCTCTCTCTCTCTCTCTCTTTCTCTCCTTCTCTCGCTCTCTCGCACTCTCTCTCACTCCCTCTCTCCAGAAGCCCGCTCCCCCCCCCCCGCGCAACCCCCCTTCCCCAGACGTTACGTTCGATCCGCCCGCCCCAGTCGGCCTCCACCCCATCAGGATCCATCTCAGTGGCCCTGGGGGCCGAAACTCGGGCGACGTCAACTGACCAACCCTCTCCGATCCTGGCCGGGCCCATCCTGGGCGCAGGATGGGACTGGCCAGGATCCGTGAGGTGATCCGCGGACGTCGCCCGAAAAAAAAACGTCCCCCAGAAGTCGAAAGTCAAGGAAAGCTCCGTGCTCGAGGAGAAAAAGAGAAGCTCCGTGCTCGAGGAGGAAAGACATCCACCGGATGTCTGAGGTCCGCGCGCTGCGTGTGGGCACAGGTGGCTGCCGACTTGGGAGGAAGAGCAGGCGCGCCTGGATGCACATCTGGACTTCACCTCGGCCTTCCTGATCGCGTCCACCGCGGCGGTGGATCGTTCCTGCCAGGAGGGCGCCTCATCGTCTGCCAAATCACTGTGCTCCACGACCTCCTCCTCCTCCTCCTCCTCCTCCTCCTCCTCGCACCCCCTCGCCGAACTTCGCCGCCGTCGTCGTCGTCGTCGTCGTCGTCGCCTTCTGATTCGTCTTCTTCACCATCGTCAGCATCATCATAATCATTATCACCATCATCACCATCTTCAGCAGCATCATCAGCATCATCATCACCATCATCAGCAGCAGCAGCAAAATCATCACCATCATCATCATCAGCAGCATCATCATCAGCAGCAGCATAATCATCATCATAATCAGCATCATCCTGATCCTCATCATCATGATCAGCATCATCAGCATCATCAGCATCATCATCATCAGCATCATCATCATCATCGTCACCATCATTATCAGCAACATGATCATCCGCATCATCATCATCAGCAGCAGCAGCATCATAATCAGTATCATCAGCAGCAGCAGTATCATACTCAGCATCAGCATCATCAGCATCATCATCGGCAGACCCAGCATCATTAGGATCCTTATCATCATCACCATCACCGTCACCATCAGCATCACCATCACCATCATCACAGCCATCATCATCATGACCATCATCAAGAACAACAACATCATTATCATCAGCAGCATCATCGGCATCATCAATATGATAATCATAATCAGCAGCATCATCATCAGCAGCAGCATAATCAGCAGCAGCAGAAATATCACCATCATCACCATCAGTATCAGCAGCATAATCATCATCATAACCATCAGCAGAATTATCAGAATCATCATCTGCAGCATCAGCAGCAGCGTCATCAGCAGCAGCATCATAATCATAATCAGCATCAGCATCAATCATTACAACCATCATCACCATCACCATCACCATAAGCATCATCATCACCATCCTCAGCACCATCAGCATCATCAGCATCATCAGCATCATCAGCATCATCATCATCACAATTATCATCATAACAGTCATCGGTATCATCATCACCATCATCAGCAGCAGCAGCATCGTCATCATCATCATCATCACCACCACCATCATCATCATCGTCATCATCAAGGCGCCGGCCCTACATATGCAAACAAGGCCCGCGCCCACCCAGAAGCAGGGGCGTCGCCAAGAAGCCCTGGCCCTCCCCCCCTGCCCCCCCCTCCTTCCCAGACCCCCGACGTCGTGACTTTTTCATGGCGTCGACCCTCAAGGGTCTCGACCCCTTCCCTGGCACCGGCGGCCTGGGGGGCGGAGGGGGAGGAGGAGGAGGAGGAGGAGGAGGAGGAGGAGGAGGAGGAGGAGGGAGGAGGAGGAGGACGAGGAGGAGGGACGGGAGGGAGGACGAGGAGGACGAGGAGGAGGAGGAGGAGGAGGAGGAGGAGTAGTGCATGAGGAATGAGGTAGGAGGGAGCAGGAGGAGGGAGGAGGAGGAGGTGGAGGCGAGGAGGAGGAGGGGGAGGGGGAGGGGGTGGAGGGGGAGGAGGGGGATGGGGAGGAGGAGGAGGAGGAGGAGGGAGGAGGAGGAGGAGGAGGAGGAGGAGCAGGCGGAGGAGGAGGAGGAGGAGGAGCGGAGGAGGAGAGGAGGAGGAGGAGGAGGAGGGGAGAAGGGGGAGGAGGTTGGATGAGGAGGAGGAGGGAGGAGGAGGAGGAGGAGGAGGGGGAGGAGGAGGAGGAGGAGGAGGAGGAGGAGGAAGAGGGGAATTTGCCAAATCAAATTCTGGGGCAAGTCAATTCTGTCATCGATCCCCGACTCGAGCCCTCGGAGCCCGCTCTGGGCCCACCGCCCCCGAAGGCGCGCGGCCGTGGCCGAGCCCGACTCCGCCGGCGGCCCATTGGGCCCAGGCGCCCCACGGGTAACCTCTCGGGACCCGCTGTGGGCCCCGACGGGGCGAAGCCCTCCCAGCCTGGAGCAGGCAGCGCAGCCTGGGGCCTGGAGCCTTGCCCGGCCGACGGGGCGGAGCCCTGCCCGCCTGGAGCCTCGCCGCTCTGGGCCCCGACGGGGCGGAGCCTTGCCAGAGAATCCAACGCTCCAACAAAAATCGGAGCAGGCGGCTTTGGGCCGTTTTCGGCCTCAGGGGGCCCTCGCCGTGCCCCGGAGCGTCAAAGAACGACTCGGGACGAAAAACCCACACTAGGGAAGGGGTCCGGACCTCTGGGGCCCACGCATCGCAAAAATTGGGTCCCTATCCTTGAGGCTGGCACCACCACATCTCGATGCCGATCTCTCAAGGACCCCGATCAGCCTCCGAGGGCGCATCCTTGAGATTATCACCGCCTTTGGGCCTGGCGATCTCCACAGACCCCCGACGTCATGAGTTGTGTCATAACGGCGACCCTCAGAGGTCTCGACCCATACCCCTGGACCCGATTCTCCTCCTGAGCCGCTTCTTGACGGCCCCGAGAGCCCGGAAGGGCCTCGAGAGGCCCAAACCAAGAAGGGAAACCCCCCCGTCGTGATCTTTCCCTCACGC